AAAAAAACCACATTTTTATTAAAAACAAAAAAAAAAAAAAAAAAAAAAAAAAAAAAAAAAAAAAAAAAACATTCATTTGTGTTTCCATTTTAGAGAGAGAAATACAGTCGTCCATTACCTCCGGCTGAGGAAGCTTGGCATGAGAGGGTTTCCAGTAACCGATTCCGCCGAATCGACTCGCCGCCTCCTTCACGGACTCGAACGGCGCCGAGGTGTCGATCTCAGCCCTAAAACCTCCCTCCATTTTCACGCCATTGGTCTCCGCTACTCCCTCCGACGTCCCTCCCGATCCACAACCTAAGGTTTCCGCCATTAATGTCCGAACATAAAACCTTCAATCGCCAATAACCCCAAACAACAAACAAAAAATCCCTAATTTTGTGGCTCTCCTCTTAGAGAGAGAAAATCCAAAGGAATCGACAAAGAAAATGGTGAGAAAAATTTGCAAAGAGATATGGCGTTTTACAAACAAACTGTGCAGACAGCAGAGTATAAAGATAGACTGAACAAGACTAGAGAGAAGAACGACGAAGAAGAAAAACAGGTTCAAACAAAAGTGTACGTTTTGGGGTTTAGATTCACCGGAACTCCGAAAATGCCCCCGGCAAGCATCGCAATTTTCGGAAGGTTGAGCTGTGATGTTGGGGAAATAACGACAAAGATTGATGTCAAATTTGGAAAATAAGAGGAGAGAAAGGACAAGATTTTGTTTGGTCTTGGAGTGTGCGTAGTTAAGAGTGGGTGTTTTTAATCGCATTTGTAGCAAATGGGGTGGGGGTATTATCGTAATATTAGAGACGCGCGTGTGGGATTTCCAACGGAAACATCCCCAACGGGCCAATTATTTCTTTTGGTTGGCCCGAGTAATGATGAAAAAGGCAAAGCCAGTCAGCTTCAAACTTCAGTGGTTCTTCTGTTGCTCTCTTGGGCCGTTGGGACTTTGGGAAGGTGAATACGTACACAAGAACATAACTGCAAAGTTTGGGTTATTGAATAGGACAGGTTTCCGTTTCTTTTTGAATGACATGAGAATTGAGATTGTTTAGTTTGTTGATTTAAGTTTTTATTTGAGTAGATGTGATTTTATGTGAGAATATTTTATTATAATAAAAAAGTTAAATGTGACTATTTTTTAGAGCTTTTTACTATAGTAAAATTTAAATTCTAAATTCAAATCTGTGAAATGAACGGAGGCTTAAAGTATAACTCTTAAATTATTGTTCGTTTAGTTTACGTGTTTAAGTAAACGAGTTTAATTACTAATTTAAATTTTATGCGAGAATTCATTAGTGAGAACTTTTTTTATTTAATTTTTATGAGAGAAAAAGATTATAGGAGAATCAGAGTCATGGTTTCAAACGCGTGAATTAAACGGGACATGCATTTTGTAGGTCATAGGGAAAAAAAGAGAGAGAAAAGAGTAACACAATTTCAAGTTTCAACTTCGACATTACATCAGAGTAGCGCATTAATGCAGTGCAATTTGATGAATATTTTTTGCGTATTTTAAATTTTGGCAACTTGCCTTATTAACTTGTAAAATTATTGTAATATGCTCCATTTTAACAATGATTGTCTTAAACTAGTGTCGAAAATATACGTTTGACAAAGAATTATAGCATCCCAATTTAAAAGTAACACAAATCTTCAAATTCATCAACTTTTAATCTCTTAAATCTAATAAAAAATTTGAGAGAATTTAGTAAAATGAGATACATTACAACAATTTTACAAGTTTAAGAGGTTGATTGTCAAAATTGAAAGTTTGAGGGGCAATTTACTAAACCGCGGTAAGTTCCAGGGGCAATTGTGCTATAAACCTAGGGCTTGTTCATTTATATTTTTTGAGTTGTCGTGAGTTGAGTTCAGATCTTGATTTGAGTTAAGGTGTATTTGAGTATGGTTTGAGTTGAAACTCTAATTTGAGTTTGTCTTTGGATGTGTACATTTCTTTCTTGGGTACATGTGGTCATTCTAATTCATCTTTGGATATCCCAGAACTAATTATGGGGTATTTTGATCTCCATCTTAAAAGTATTGAATGATTGTTGTTGTAGGGTAAAATCTAAAACCCTACATCATGTATTGGATCAGTTGAAGGTATTAAGTGATCTTGACAGCTCAACATAAAATATCCTGCATTTCTATAGAAATCGACCGTATAGAGTAGTCAAGATAGGCAAAAGGTCGACCGTATAGAGATGTCAAGACAAGCGAGAAGTCGACCGCTCCAGGTACGTAGGCGGAAATGGCTTGATAAGCGCCTGAGGAGCCGATTGCAAGCAGCCCGAGAAAAAACTGAACCTGCAGGATATCTTACGTGACTTGTAAGCAAGCAAAATTGGTAGGGGAGCAAGTGAAGACCATTGTTGACTGCCAGAAACTCCACCCATTGAGGACTACATCCAAAAATATGGAGACAATGTGATAAAGTGTAATGATAGAAATAACATATGTTGAGAGAGGATAGAGCAAATATAAACGTGAAAAATGGCGAGCGAGGAGATTCATTCTGTAACTCTTATTATGAGAAGATAGTAAAGATTTTTTCCTCCTCACAGTGGACGTAGCTCTTGAACAAAAAAAGTGAACCACTATAAATTTTGGTGTTATTTCTCTTTGATTAGCTTTAAAAAATCTTCTCAAAGCAAGATTAAACCATTAAAATCACGTTAATCATTTCTAAACCCAAATTAATGCAGTTGACGAATTTTCACCGTCAACAATTATTGACTTGTCTTTCTATTATCTTGTCACTTTAAAAAGCCTACAATTTAAATATAAGTAAAGAAGAGTCTGCTTACAATTTAAATATAGTTGAAAATGAGCAGAAAAAGGCTCCAGCTTTTAAGTAATTATTTGGATAAAAATTTTAAAAATAACTTTCTAAAACATTTACATGAGATTTTTTGTTCATTAATAAAAATCAAAATCAAAATCAAAATGTTATTTGAAACTCTAAAGTAACTTGCTCTTTTTGTAATAGAAACTCTTAAAGGAGAAGCCATGTTTATAGGTTTGGCTTCTCTTGAAAAAGCTTCCCAAAAAGCTCTTCTGGTATTTCAACTAAACATCTCTGAAATCAAAAGCTGCTTATGAGTTCAGAAAGCCAAAAATAGGCCTATAAAAGCTCTGCCAATTGTCCTAGCTAGTCCAGGAAAAATAATCATCCATATCAAACAATGTAAGAGGAAAAAATAAAAAAATTAAAAAGATCAAGACCATCAACTCCTTCAAATGAACCACCAACATGAACAAGAGTCTAAAATCACTGTAAGTTTGAATCTTGATTTGGTTTTGCTTCCAAACCATTTCACGTCCATGGAAAATCAAAATTCTAAGTTCATGAATCCATCATAAAATGAAATTCCAAGTTCATGAAAGCCTCCTTGTCTCTAAGAAATGACTTTAAAAAGTACTAAGAATAATAATGCTTATCGGTTTAAGGAAAGGTGAATAAGTACTAAGAGTACTAGAAAAGCACGCGAATAGTCTTGATATGCAAAATAAGCACTTGATTAGAAGAAGTCATCTAGATCCTCATCACAGAACACCATCTGAGTAGAACTATTTTCAGTATTGAACAATTCATCATCAATTCCATCTCTTATAGCCCCCGAAATGCTGCGCTCTCCAATATTCTCCTCGTCTAGTGGTGGCAATCCAATTTGTGGCTACTGCAGCTACCGTTCTTGTTTTGATTGTTCGATGAAATTGCTCAGCAAATTTGGAATTTCTGTTGCACTCCCAAAGCCAAAATTGCCCACATTGGAGAAATCCATTTTCTCACCGAAAAAGTATTCCTTGACGAAGTGAATGTTCTCACCAAAGCCTAGTAACTCCTTTCTAACACTTATCCCAGTTTCTGTATATAATAAGAATTTGTATGAGTCTAGTTGGTGATCATGCATAGCTTAATTTTCTTTTAGTTATCGCTGGGACTTGAATCCAAGACTAAAATACATCTAATTATTACGATAAATTGCGAGGTAAATTACATAATATTTCATAAACATTAAAGTGTCGAAATGATCTCCTGATCTTTTTTTTTTTTTTGAATTGATCCTAGTTGATCATGACATTATGATTTTTACAAGGAATTACCTAATGTAGTTTTGAGTTTTGAAAACAAATGACCTTCTTGTAAATTGAGTGGTGGTGAAGGGGGGATATTGTATGGTGCTAGACCTAATTCAGCAGGTCTTGTTCCGTTTTGTCTATGTACATTGACGTGTGACAAAGCCACATGAACTACCACCAGCATGACTTAGCAATAACCTAATATCAGCTAAAAAAATTAAAATTTTTTTTTAAAAAAGTCAATTTTTTAATCATACCTTCACCATAAGTATCATCAATCAATATTTATAGGATCCTGTAATTTGATGCCCCGCCAGTACTTGTTCCTCTGCATCATTTATGCAAAGCTGGATCTTACTTTTAGCATTTGTGTGTCCACAGTCATATGGCACTAGATATTTAAGCACACTAACAACGTTTTACACACACACACACATATATATATATATATATATTTATATATATATGTGTGTGGACAAATAAAAAAAAAAAAAACAAGATAACAGATGATTACAATAACAGAAAGCAACTGCAATTTTTGGATGCAATTTATGCGGGCGTTTCTTTGTATATACTTAATCGCTCGATATGGTTGCCGATATGCATGGAATTCGTAAAAGGGTGATGAACAAAAAATAAACATTGCTCAAATAACTGAAATGATGTCTCTTATTTTTTCTTGTTCACCACGAGGTTTTGTCTATGTACATATTTTCATTGGCTTGTAAACTTCCCTTTTTTTTTGGTGTCTTTAATTAGTACTACCTTTAAGCAATAGGATAAGGCATCATGAGAAAAAAGTAACAATTTTTGTTACGATAAGATTTTTAAAAATCTGGTTTTTGTCGTATGTAACTATAAAGATGGAATTATTGATCTAATTTGGACAAAATTGAAGATAGAAAGTTAGTTAAACCTTAAAATAGTTTCCATTATTTTTGTTTCAGAGTATTCCTAGAGAAGCTAGTAGACCCTGTAATCCTTCAAAGCTCTACCGAAATAAAAATAAAAATAATAACAATAAAAAAAACAACATATTATAGAAAATTTTTGGCAATCCATCTTCTGTACTATTATCTTGGCCGTCTCTAGAGATCAATTTTTTCTCTATTGTACTTTATTTTAAATGGAAATAAAAGAAAATGCTGCTCTATTCTCAAGGGCCCCCATCCAGATCTGCTTTCTATCTCGGTAGTCTGGTATGTGTAAGTTATACCAGCCTTACAACTAGATTTAACTATTGGGTTGGTAAAATCTTTGGTCGGACATACCCTGAAACAGAAAATCATCTACGAGAGAGTTCCTAAGTTTTGTTCCCACTGCATGCTTCGAGGGGTGGCAATTTTTATGGAAATGTTAGTTTACCGATCCATCCTAAAAGCTTAAGTTTTTAGGAGGTGGGCCAACAATAATTTTATACTTTAACACTCCCCCTCACGTGTGGGCTAGACAATGGGCAATCGTATGGGTAAATTAATTGGAAAGCCCAACACGTGAATATTTAAGCTCGAGATATATTAAAGACGTAACACATGATAATTTTTAAATGGGAATAAAG